GTATCTTCCGAAACTAAAAAACGGGACTAGAAGGCTTCTAGAAGGGGGGGGATAGTCCAATCAGTGAGCGAGGGAGCCTTTCCAAGGCTTTTGATGGCTGATACGCCTGGACTGGGAATTCATCGAACAAAAAGGAAAAAGAAGAAAAAGAAAGTTAAAAAAAGAAAGAAAGAAAAGAAAAGAAAAGAAAAAGAGAGAAGATTTCGCCCTTTTCTTTTTATATTGCCCTTGGCATTTTGTTCGTTCTGGCGTGCAGAACATCCCAGAACGAACCCACTGGGGTCGAGAGAGGAACTTGAAATCTTCCAGAGAGGAGCGAGTAAATGCCCTAAATGGAAGAAACATGTGGGTCAGGAAAGTAAAGCGAGGCAATGATAGATGAAGCACTGATAGGCTTATAGTCCATATCGGCCCTGCAGCTCAAAATATGGGTGTCAAGAATCAACTGATATACGGACGAGAAGGCTTATGACAAGGCTGAATGAACCAGTGGCTGGAGAGCGATAACACGATCCACCATTCATCTTGCTTAATTTTAGAATCATAACAGCGTCGCTTGCTTTGGAATGCCCATGGAGCAGCCAGAAAAGTATATCCGGTTTTAGATAGATACGAGCAGGTATCCTCATGATTCGCGCCTATGGTATACTATAGAGAAACGGGGTGGGCCCGGACAGGGAGCAGTAAGTACTTGTATTCATGGGAAGTTTTGGCGAGAAACATCGCCATCGGAGTGCTCGGGGTCCTATCCATTAAGCTTTGTTCGTCCCTGGCGCCTGCCGAGTTATTCGAGGAATCGAGCAAGGCTGGAAAGGGCGGTTGGCTGAAAACGGAAGACGCATGGAAGCCTTCTGGAAGGGGCCGAACAAGGAAATGATCGGCAGGGTGTTGGGACGTGTTGCTTTTGGTCTAGCGCGGAGTTGGTACTAGTCAGTACTAGCCGGTACCAATTGACATGTTTATCTCCCTTGGAAATGCGCACACCATGCATGTCTTGATCTGAATATTGGGGGCGGGTTGATCTGGTTTGAAAATTCTTTCGGTGAAGCGGGATCCGTTGGGGGTTGGTGTCGACCCGGAGGCATGTCCGGATAAGTGGTTCGGAAGCAAAAATAAAAATATCTGCGACGGGTAGGAAACTCAAGCTGCTCCTAGGTGCTTGAACCAGTTGTGCGGTACTGTAGAAGTAAATTTCTTCCACTTCTTCAAAAGAGAGAGTGAGAAAAAGTGGGAATACTTATGGTAAAGGCGGTTAAAAATGTATCAATTCCAACGGATGAATAGGAAAAAAGCAACCATAAAACATACGATCGGGGAGAGATAGAATCCATGGTCGGAAAGCACAGGTTTGAAGAAAACGCAACCGAGATACATCCATAAGAACGAAGCCAATACTAGCCCTGATTACTAGTAGATACCAGATACATGGCGCCTCCGATTTTCACCAGAGGCCACACGGACGGATTGTGCCTTCACAACAAGAAGCTCGTTATATATAACTTGGGCGGCCGCCCACAGGGACGAGGAGCAATATTAAAAGGTAGGCTTGAAAGGTACACAACACGCACAAGACTCCTGCTGTCAGAGTGTCTGTCAATTTCTTTGTCGGTACGTTGAATTTTCTTTTCATTCCCCTCTCTCGCGTCATTTCACTTGCTTTTCGTCTTCCAGTGCGTATGCTAGCTCTCAGGGCTGCGGGCAAGCTAGAAAACGGAGTGCGTGCACATAACTTCGGGCCAAACTTTGCTCCCGCCTGTTCACACGCCCCGAGTTTACCGCTGACCTTGGGTTCCCGCAAACCGGGTCGTGGAAGTTAAATTTTCCGCGGTGGCCAACTCGGCACCGAATCTCCCCTCCTCAGCCCGCTTGCAACCTTCATCTTAACGATATCACCACCCTGTATCTTCGTTTTCCCTCTTTATTCTCTCCAATATCCTACCTGGTGAATGCCATCTGATCCTGTTGACATCTGTGTGCGGTTATCACCTCGATTCTACTCTCTCGCTACTCCATTGCTGTGCTTCATCACTTTATTTTTTGACTCATGTTCTCCTGTGCCACTCTCGTTTGAATGGCAGATCTCCCAGATTCCCTCGCCAATTTAACCAAAGATATACTCTGTCAGCGGACGCCACCATGAGTTGCGATCTTTCGAAGCTGCTATTCGATTTATAGCGTCTTGAGCATACCGCCCGTTTGGTTGTTCGACGTGCCTCTGCTTCCCACGGCAGACCGTCTACTTTTCCATTCTCGTCCAAAGCCAACACACCCAATATATGAAACGGACGGAAAATAACGCCCTTTCTTGTTACCATTACGCTTAAAGAAAACAAAAATACACACTCACACCCACACCCACACCGACCATGTTGATTAAAGGCGAGAAGTGGGCTTGCGAGGCCTGTATCCGAGGGCATCGTGTCAGCAATTGCCAACATGCAGGTATGCCTTAATTATACCGTCGCAACCACAGGGCTCCTTCATTATTATAATCACTAACCAACTTCAAATAGACCGGCCCTTGAGTCACATAAATAAGAAAGGTCGCCCGGTTTCGCAATGCCCTCACTGTCGAGGTTTGCGCAAGTCGCGCACAACTCACACCAAGTGCGAATGTGGCGAGAAAGGTCATACAAAAGCTGAATGTCCGACGAAGGAGGCAAGCGATAACCAAGGTGAGTCAGCATTCAAATTACATCCTCATTCTGTTCTTTCTGACTAATCTGGCAATAGTTGGGAATCGAAAGCAATGCTGCTGTGGCCATGGCTCCCGTTGCACTTGTGCCAACAAAAGAGATTCCAACCTCGAAACCGTTCCCGAGGTGGACCCCCCTCGCAGCAGAGCATCCTCCAACCTGGGTCAGAAACGCCCTCACCCTGCAACTACTAAAGCGGATGATGCGCTTTCCGGTTTCCCGACCCGACACACTAAGAATAGAGTCAACGACACATGTAAACGAGGGGTCCCTTACTCAATTCCTAGGTCCCATACTGTTCATGCTTCATCAGACATCGCGCGCCATTCGGCGGACCATCTTCCCTTACCCGAAACTGGTATCGAGCAAGACGGGACCCTGGCTGTGGATTCGATTACAAAGGTAGCTTTCCCAGTCCGTCTGGTAAGGTCGGAACATGGATCACCCGCCAATGCTCCCTTGCTTGGAATTGAGGATATGAATAACGGAATTCCCCATCTCGATATTTCCGTTGCTCCGTTGGACCCAATGAATTCAACTCCAGGTTTGTTTGATCGTCAAGACCAGAGTCTCGACCAATTCTATTCTCCGGAGACGGAAGCATTTCCAGAAACGCCCAATTTCAATGTTCCCCCAGTGGACTGGTCCACATTTGGTTTGCCCTTCAACCCCAGCGACCTCCACACTGCATTCAGCCAGCCACCCTCGTACGCAAGCTTTGACAACAGCAATTTCAGTCACTCCAACCTCACCCATTCTTCGTCGGGAGAACTCTCAGAGGTTGAAGATATCAGCCTTGCCACTGGAATAGGGATGTCCAACCCTGACAAACTTGACGTCCTCAGCGCTAGCGATGGATCAGGGAATGGCATGTACCGTCTCAGCCCATCGTCTTGTGTAGATTTCTCTCAGTCACAAATGCTGTCGCCGAACGACCTCCAGTCAGTGGACATCGATGCCTTCCTCAAGGCTGGTGCTGCACTTAGCCAGCCGCAACAACCCTTTGACATAATCGCGACATCGCCAGGGGTGAGGTTAAATTCCTACCAGGTCCCACAAGACTACTCTTCTACAGATAGTCAGACCTTCAGTACAACGGCTGGCGACGATAGCTTGCTGGTCTCACAAGAAGGAGAGTTAGTGTCCACCGAACCTAACACTTTCATGTGGGATCCGGCTACCTATCCGATCACCACTTCTGCAAACCAAGATGATATCCCTCTTCAACAACACACCCAGTGGTTTTAATATCTAGGGCGGCTTTTTTATTTTTATTTTTATTTTTTAACGAAAACAATATATCTTATCATTCACCCCTTTACAGATTATTTAGACCAATTGATTTGCATGCTTGATATCTATCCATACGTGTCTATATGCATCCCCAGGTCCATCCCCCAATTTAACCTTACACTCTCACTTAACATTTTCAATCGTCGGTACAGAACTCATGACCTTAATGACACAGTGTGTTACAGTGTTTGATTCTCAGGAGTTTCTGCATATATCCATATATATATATCTCTACATCACCCCTGTCTACTTCATTTATCGTTTCCATTTTCATGCGGAACGCAACTGATTTACACGAATGCCCTTTGTCACTAGTACGACTTTTCCCCATTTGCTCATTTACTCGTATCTTCACCGCATATAAATTTTCTTACGTTACTTCCTCTCCCTGTAGCCGGTGGACCTTTGCCATCATTTTTTTGTGATCAATATGTGATAAAGACTGAACGGCATTCTTGTTTTGGTTTACCATTCAACGTTTCCGTTATATATTTTGCTATATCCTTAACTTTAAACTTTGTTTTCTTTTCTCATTTCTACAACTAACATTGCCCTCGTTGAACATAGAGCTGTCCGGGACATAGAATAAATAAATCGACTATCGTTGTATATACAAGCATACGCCGTTTGATCCCTTTCCTATCCGTTTTGCATCTGCACATTTCGTATATATATCCGCAGTAGTACCTTTGGAAGCAATCCATTTACGATAACCATTTCGGATCATCTAGGCTTGTGACGTCGTATCCAACGCACCGCACACATGTGAAGTACCTAGGTAGCCGGAATAGCCGAGGCTATCGTCACGTGTGCTCGCTCCATCTCTGCCGCGAACATCGGCACGAGACCGAAATATGATATCGACCAAGGTTCTTCTTCTTCGTCTTCGTCTTTTCCATTTACCTCCTCTGTGCATTATTCGGTTTCTGCGGAGGCCAGTCTGTCTACCCTGATCGCCGCATTATACCTCCCGGTGCCTCTCGCGTTCCCTCTTACCCCCTCTCAGCCAATATGGCTGCCACAGACCTGGCTCACCACCCGACGGTGGCCCATTATCTCAGATTCGTTGCTACTACAGGTATGTTTGCGATTATGTTGAGAGCGCTGTTATCTTTTTATCTACTATTTTGCGCTATAAACCGGGAGGGGGGATGAGGGGTTGTCTTGCAATGATCTGGGTACAAGCGCTGCGAGGAGAGCACCTTTGACTCGACCTGTTATTCCCCGGCTAAACCCCTGGTCAAGCAACGCATCTACTCGCGAAGTTCTTCTGAAACTGAATAACATCATCACTAATCTCCTAACCCCAAACACGGCATCCAGTCGGCCGCGATAAAATCCTGCGCACCCTCCAATACTTCTCGCGTTTCTACGCTTGGTACCTCTACCGCACCAACTACCCGCAAGCCTCCATTGCCCCTTTCGAAGCCGTCAAGAAGCAATTCGCCCTAACCCGCAAACTGCTCCGTTTCGGCAAGAATGTAGAGCACTTCAAAGCCGCTGCCGTCCTCCTCGACTCGCGCTCACCGACGGCCACTGCCGATCCCGTGCTCAAATACCTCGGAATCGGCCGCCAGCTCGGCTATGCCATCTACCTCTCCTTCGATATGGTGTTGTACCTAGATTCCGCCGGGGTGCGCAAGATGGCGAATGCGAAGAAGCTGCAGGCTCGCGCGCTGAAGGCGTGGATGGCTGGCTTGGTGTGCAGTGCCGTTTCCGGGCTGTATTCGATGTGGATGTTGAAGGAGAGGGAAAAGGCTGTGAACAAGAAGGACGGCGAGAGTGTGGTTGAAGGGAAGATGATTGAAAAGTCAGTTTCCCAACCTTCATAGTTGTTGTCAAAAAAAACATATATACATTACCCTTGCGTGAGTTTCTCCGCTCGCTAACCATGGACTGTACAGAGAACGCACGGCCGTCCTTACCCAGCTCGTTTCGGACTTCTGTGATCTCACCATCCCCAGCACATCTCTTGGCTATATAAACTTGGATGATGGCATTATCGGCCTTGCCGGTACCGTCAGCTCCTTGATTGGTGTACGGACAGCCTGGAGAAAGACCGCATGATATAGGGAGTGATGTCTCAGCTGTCATTTGTGGAGCATGTGTGATGGGTTCACCATCCAGTTCGCAAATCGAGTTGACCCCGGGTCCTCGTGGTTATATCAATTGCGTTTGTTGTAGAAATTTCAACCAGTGTGTTCACCTTCTGCCGCTTTTAATTTTCAGTCGCTTTTCCCTTTTTGGTTTTTGGTCATTGTTATTTGTTAGTTTCTAACATTTGGCTCATTTTCATTTTCATTCTATACTCTCCATTCTCGTGTCTTTACGTTCCAAGACAATGCTTTACTCTTCTTCTGCTTCGCCACTTTATTTACCGGTTTGTAGGTACTTTCTTGACTGCCATGAATGATCCCATTTATCCATTTTGACCGATCTATTGAGATTAAATCAAATGAATTTCGGCTGGCCGGTCGCGCTTATCCAGCCAATCACTCAACATATTTGTTCCTAGTTATCAGTATTTCAATTCGTTCTTCTCCCTCCTCCGCATATTTTATGCACTTGACTGTACCAATCATGCCAGGAATATCTCATCAGTTCTACCCATATTTTGTTGAGGATTTGGATTAGTTCGTCCCCTCTACTACCAGCATGGCGCTGGTGGTTATCGAGCTCTTTTGTCCCGGTGGCCTAACATATTTATCATCTCCACAAGGTTCCGCTAACGCCGCCTTTTGTAGCCAATTTTTGGCTTGATCAATTATACCTAGATACACATATCTATATACTCTTCTCATTTCCCCTTCTTTTACTTTCTGTTATCCTATATCTAGTCCCGTTACATCATCCACGAATAGAACGGCGAAGCAGATTTCACATTGAGATAGTTCATGATCATTTCAATTAGCAAACTGGACAGGTTTGCCAACATATATACTTTTAGGAGCTAAGCGCAACTATCCAGCTTCATCCATGAACGAATGCATGATTTATTTGTTGTACAGTACATACAAAGTACGTGTGGATATATACACATATATATATATGTGTGTGTGTGTGTGTGCGTTGCCAAAATAACATGCTGGCGACTTAAACCATTACTGCTTCTGGTCGCATGATCTGGAACAGAATATCAGCGACCATAGAATCCATACAAGGTGGCTAGCCAGGTAAAACAGGAATATACCCGACTGCACGGTATGACAGTGTCCAAGTCTCTGGAGATAAAAGCGAGCCGAGTCTGAAATAAAACCGTAATGCAAGGTATGGGCGCTAGCTCTCAGCTGAGGTCGCCGGCTCCTGCAGCTGACTCTGTTCCAGCTGCTGCAGTTTTTGTTTCATGGACACCCCCATCTTGCTCGTATCATATCCATTCTCCTCCAGGTACCGGCGAAAGCGTGCGTCTTCTAGTGCAATCGTGTCCTACATGTCGCAGTGGGTCAGAGCTATGTAATATACATAACATATACCTTTTTTTTTTTTTTTTTTTTTTCACATATTATACCCACCTGCCCAATGTGAGGGATCAAAAATCGCACAACCACAGCAGACATCATACATAATGTGCTCGCGACAAAGAACGGGTCCTGGCCCGCACGCACGGGATTCGGCGCACGAGCCTGAATAATCGGGAACGCATATGTTCCGACGAAGGCACCGACTTTGCCTATCGCGGCCGCGATGCCATAGTATTGTCCACGTACAGCCGTGGCACTGGTCATGGCCGCGATGAGGCCGATATTATTGCCTGGTCCAATCTCGCCGAGGGAGATGAAGATACTGGTTTTTTTTTTTTTTAAAAAAAAAAAAAAAAGCATGGTTACAAAACAGGTCTCAGAAATACTATATGGTCTGTGCAAGTGGTTGATGAAACCTACCCATAGAGAACGACAAACGCACCGACATTTTTTGCGGTTGCGAGGAACTCGTAGCATCCTGCCATGATGAAGCCGACGATACCCTGTAAAAAGACGCTAATGGAAAGTGCGTAGCGAGGGCCAATCCAGTCGGAGATGAAGGCGCCCAAGCATGCGCCCGGAAGGTTGAAAAAATTGACGACGGTGTTCCATCCAAAGGCTTTCCAGAGGGGCGCGGAATCTGAGAGGACGATCCTAAGCCAGACGCTCGAGTAGATACTGAAGGCGTAGGAGGAAAAGTCGTATGCGAACCATGCTAAGGAGACAATAAACTAATTTTAATCTGTAGTTAAAAGATTGAACTTGTTCCGCGCAGATAGGGTAACTATATATCCTTACCAGTCGCCACCAATAGAACCTGTAAGTGGGTTTTGAGTTAACAAGAGAGCAGGCAACAACGGTGGGATTATTGACAAAGGGTGAAGGGAAGTAGATGTACCTAGCAATCAGTTTGACAGGATATTTATGCATCCTCTCTCGATTAAAATTCTCGGGCTCCCGAAGCTTCATCCGTAAATAGAGCAAACTCAGGGGCGGAAGGACCCCAAGACCCAACATAACCCTCCACGCCGTCCTTAAGTGGTTCTCAGTAAAAACCAACACCACAACCATAGGCACAAATGCCGCAAGAACGAACCCAAGATTGATCTGAACATTCGTGAACATAATAAACCATCTGTTCCGATGGCCCCTCTTCAGCTCCCCCGCGCTCTCAGCCGCCGCAACGCTGCCAGCGGGATACTCACCACCAATCCCCACGCCAAGGAAGAAGCGATAGATAGTTAACGTAGTGAAGAGGCCAGGTACACTACCGTTAGCGCCGTAGGAGCCTGCAGACAGGGCTGCGAAAATGATGAGGACGAGAGTAGACGCCATCAGGGACCACTTGCGGGAGTAGTGGTCACTGATGACGCCGAACAGGAGCTGACCGACAACGGTGCCGGCGAAGGCGATGGAGGGAACATTTTTGACGGCGTCAGATTTGGAGTAGGCAACTGGGTAGAGGATGCGGAGAACGGTGTTGACTGAGCCGATAATCTAGATTTTGGTTTACAGGTTAGGCTAGGGGTACTAAGTAGGATCATCCACTGGCGCTCTAGCGATCTGGTTACTGCGCAAGTGGCTTTTTGGACAGTGCGAAATGGGTTGATCGACGCACATTGTTGAGGTACCCGTCAGAAAATAGACCCGCACCACCTGCGATCACCGGCCAACTGCGCTCCCAGCGGCTCTCTGTGGTATCTTCAAGCTTATCTGGGACAGTCGGGACAATGATTTTTTGAAAATTTTTCTCTTCAGTTGAGCTAGCAGCGTTGTTTGTGACGGGGTATTCGCCGGACATAGTCAAAGACCAGCCACGGCCGTGAAGTTCTCGATGAAGCCAGCGATGAGTTAAAAAAAGGCTTTTGGTTTGATCTTTTGGGTATCTTTTGTATGTAATTTGTATGTTGCTAAAGGCAGAGAGGTAAAGGAACGAGGAGGCCAGAAGACCGGCTGGAGGCAGCTGTATGGTTCCACAGCGGCCTCCTTCCTGCTGGCGCTCTGCGAGGCGAGAGCCAGCCTGGATAGCATCCGAGGGTTTGCCCAAACAAAGAGGTTTGCCATCCGCCGAGGCATGTTGCGGCGGGAACAAATAGAATGAGGGGGATCCACAACGTGGTAAAACGGGGTTTGGGTACGGTAGACTGAATCAAGATTAACGATACTACTCTCACTTAATGCTACATAATCGTCAATAACTCATAAGTAACCCCGCGTCTTTACAGCTATAGAAAATAAGCATAACAGACCTCCCCCAGTGGCTCATTTGCATATATGTGGCTTGATCACTCGGGTGTGGCAAAAGGATAATTAGCAACCTACAATTCGTGAATAAACAAGGGGGGGCAACTTTATTTGACTAGCGCAAAACTTTAAAAAACTTTAAATTAATGTGTTTTTATAGCTGATCGACTCAAAAATATTGCTATCACGGCGATATAACCGTTGCCTGATGAGCAACCTAGAGCTCTATTGTTGATGTTGCCTAGGCTACGTCCAAGTTCTTAGAGTTTAATTAAATAGGGGAGCGTGGCGAGGATACCTTATCTCGGATCCAGCTATGAACCCCTCCTGACTACAATTTCCCAAGCCTCTATTGGCCTGATGCTCTCAGATCTCAGAGATGCAGTGTGACCGACCCTAGATAAGGAGGTAGTAGCTCCCAGCCGCTATACAGTATTCATGGACTGCACTATATCTCTATTGCAGAAAGTTAGCTCGTACCGGTAGAGCTTCTCTACGTTGAAAATTTTTACCAAGTGTAAGAGCTTGAGTTTGTATGAGTTTGATATTTTGATATTACAGCTTTAATCGTCTCCGTTTTGTCATTTGAATCAAAACTCGAAACTTCCATGGTTTGTTCTCCGCGCATAGCGTGTCAGCAGTCGCATGGGTGATTTCAGAATTTTGATTTGCTGGGACCCATCTACTAAATAGGCAAGACTTTTATTTTACTCCAAGACCGTGGGCGTTGGAATCTTGGTCCAGGTACCACTGTGGATATCTGTTTGAAACATACCATATCCGAGGCGAGCAGTTAAGTGGTCGCGCTATGGAAAGAAAAAATTAAAGCAAAAGATGATGAAAAGAACGCTACTTATACAATGCAGAGTGTCAAAATGAACAAAAACATCCAATAAATAAATGAACTCTATGATTTTGGAAAAGTATACACGATCCAAAATGAAAAATGGATTTGAGAACAGACATTCAGACGGTACCAGAGGAGGGAATGTCTAAAGCCCTCATACCAGGGCTTCAAGGAGGAGCCAGGTAATGCGCAACCTTAAATCCAAAAAAAAAAAAAAAGAAAAAGAAAAAAAAGAAAAAAAGAAAGAAAGAAAAAAAAAAGTGTGTATATATATGTCAGCTGTATTTATTCATAAATTCCTTATGGAATTTGACAATTTTATCCGCCCACGCCGTCCCCGGTGCCAAGAATGTGGTGCGGAAATGTAAAGTGCCTTCCTTTTGACCGAAGCCAGATCCTGGGACCACACAGACACCCGTTGCGTCCAGGAGGCGGAGGGCGTAAAACTCGTCTGGCTCACGATTGGCAGCTTTGGCGGCTTCGATGGCCTTGGGGGGCAAGTTTATGGTTGGGAAGAGGTACATAGCGCCCTGCAGGAAAAGAAAAATAAATATTGTTGTTGTTTAGGAGAAGGTCAACATAAGAGGTAGATAGATGGCAATGGGGAAACTTACCCCAGGTTCCTGGCATTCAACCCCCTCCATCTGCTGGAAAGCTTTATAAAGTGCCTGCGCACGATCAAACAACCCATCCCGGATGGTATTACATTCCTTCTGATACAGCTCGTAGCTCGGATCGCCTTCAACAGGCGGGTTGACCATCATCTCCAGGAGACATTGACCGGTGACCGGCGCACACAGCATGATACTAATAAATTTATAAATATTCTCCACCACATCCGGGTGAAAACCGACAAGCTCGAAATAACCACCTCTATGGCCACACTCGCCCACCACACCCTTGGAAATGCTATGCAGCGATGCCAGTTCGACATGGTCGTATTCGACCGGCGCAACTTGTTGTAATTGCCGAAGACGCTTTTTGAAAGAGGTAAACTCACCCTTGAAGACGTTTGTTTGATATACTTCATCCGCGAGGATAACGAGATTAGATTCGACGGCGACGTCGATCACACTCTTGATTGCATCGGGGCTTAGACTAGCACCCGTGGGATTTCCAGGGTTGATAACCACGATCGCACGAACCTCAATGCCATCTTCACGGGCCTTCGCAAGCGCTGCGCGGATGGCTTCAACATCAGTGCCCCACGAGTCGCTTTCGTCAAGGTAGTACGGCACACACTGGGCGTTCAGCAGCGACAAGGTAGCAGTGTAGAGTGGGTATTGAGGGATAGGAACGAGAACGCCCGTTTTTGGGCCGGCGCAAAGAACATGGAGCAATGTGTTGACTCCAGATGATGCACCCGCAGAGAGATAAATTCTGGCCGGGTCTGCAGGGAAGCCGTCACGGCGTTCGATGAATCTGGCTACACTCTCACGAACAGCAGGAACGCCATGGCTCTGGCTGTAAGCGCCTACGCTCTGGACAGCCTTCAGAAGCTTCTTCGCCCTATCAATCACATCCTGTTTATAGCCAAAGGATGTTCTCAATGCTTCCTCGTTGTCGAGCAAAGCGGGGTATTCGAGAATGCTGAGGACCTGGCGGAAAAAGGTGATGGGTTTCTGGTCCAACTGTTGGGGGTTTCCGATATTGGCGAAGATGACCTTGTCGAATGGAAGGACATCCTGAGCAACCTGGTTGGTCGCAGAATTTTCCAGCCTTACACGGTATTCCTCCGCTTTGACGGCTAGTTCACCACGGACGGCATACTTGGCAGCCAAAACATTGGGGTTAATGTTGCTACCGTTGAGGCGACCTTTCAGGTTTGGTTTCGCCATCGAACCCATATTACGATGTGAGAGGGAAGGAGATGGTATTGGTGAGAAAAACGGAGGAGCCCGCGCAGAGAGTCCGAGAGGGTTGAGGACTAGGAATTATGTGGAAAAGTTGTCAGGTGAGTCAAGGTTCCGCCAAGGTTATCGGGACAAGTTGGGATGGAGCTAGACAGGGAAACAGGGCTAGGATCGGGTCAAATCCATGGACTAGAAGATGAACCCCTGGATACCACTCCAATTGTTAAATTATTTGTTTTTCCTCTTCCCGCAGCAATCGTAGGTGGGGGAGGAGGAGGATGAGGAGGGAGGGAAATGGGAGCTGCGAATGCGCGTCTCGGGGGAGATGAGGCGGGCTTGGTCATAAGTTTACCATACCTGGAGGGAATCTGGGTCGAGGGGAAATTACGGTCGGTGCAACACGGAGGCGGCAGATGGTAGAGCGGCGAAGAGAGATAGAAGACAAGGTTGTTCTGGCTATGCGTCGGTGTGCCATGATACACACTGTGGCATAGTGAGTGAGGATGGATCGCACTCGGACACATTCCTCCATCCCTTGTTGCAACGAAGCGAGGTGACTTGCAAGATTTGGAAAAAAAAAAAATGTTAACGGCGTGTGATCATGTGAGATTCACGTGGGTCTGGCAGAATACATTATCCGGTAGGCGGTGAACAAAGTGCGCCAATCATCCCAATATTTATAGACAAGCTCATCGCTCATCGGTAACGTAGCATCCCGTCCTCACTGGTGTTGGAAAACACGGATTCTGGGTGGTATATAGCCTAAATGTGTAGCTCACACCACCATGGACTGCGGCGGTGAAACAGAAAGAAGACGGGACAACAGGAGGTTTGCACAGTATACATGTGCTTTACCATCTATGTATCTTCTTTGAGCACATCAGAGCAACCTACCACATTCAGAAAACGGAAACCGCAGCGGCAACGCAAGCGAACATTACGTGATATGAGTGTGTTTGATAAGTTGGAACTAAAATCATCTATCTCATCCATCAGTCTACGGTATTCTTTGGCCAACCCCCAATTTATCACACACCCAAACCCATGAGTTATCGCTTCAGCCTCGGCCTATCAACCCCGCTCGCTCCCCCGCATTCTTACTGCTTGCCCGTATTTCTGTAGCTTCGTGATCAACGCATCTCCTTGCTTCACTACATCTGCATACTGCTTATTCTTGTCGTCTGGCCGGTTCGTCTCAATGATGCCGTTGACACGGTCAATCGTGCATGCTATTCTGTCACCGGCGATGAATTTGGCAAGATCCCTGGGTGCAGCGAACGTTGGTTAGTCACACACATATACACACACGCACCCACACAGAGAGAGAGAGAGAGGAGAGAGAGAGAGGTAGAGAGAGGTAGGTAGAGACAAGTCTCTCGTGTCATAGTATAATGAGTAATGAACGGGGATGACGATGATACATACTTATCAAGGAAATCAACGGTGACGCCAAAATCGTTCGCCATGCTACTCAGACCGACAACACGATAACTTTGCAGCAGTTGCTGGTATCCACGTAGCCTCATCTCGCGCACAAACCACGCCCGGTGTTCATGGAGGTAGCGGTCTTTACTCAGGAAATTATCCTCAACGGCCGCTAGCGCCAGGAAGAACGAGCGGTATATGCCATTGTACAAGCTGCTGACAAGGTTGGAGAGTGGGGAGAAGTCCATTGGGATCTCTTCCTCTGGCACAAATCCACTTTCAGCGCCGAGGGTGGTAAGATTTACAACCGTCGACGCGACCGCTGGAGTTGTGGTTGCCGTGGCATCTTTCATCTCTTCATCTCCAGCACCGGACCCCGAGGAACCTGAGCGACTTAAGGCGGATATCTTGTCTTCTCCTTCTCCGAGGATGGCCTTGATTTCAGGCGCATCGACGACTTTTGCTTTAAAATCCACGCGCTTCAAGGCAAGGGAGCCCGCCAGGACGGAGTAGACAACAAGAGACGAGTAACTGCATAATTCGTAGCTGGTGAACGTAGACAAGCTGTCGAGGAGAAGCGTCGCGGCCAGGTTATATGAGCGGATGGTGAGGAGGTGGAGTCCCTTGTAGGCCTTGAGACGATTTCTTCGGTCCCAGTCCCCGCCACTCTCAACCAATGCGCCTGCTCTCTCAATCTGCTTTTTGACAAACACCTTATCCCCAAAGAACAGCCCGATCCGGATGATTGCCAGAATCAAGTCAATCTTCGTGCCCAGAATGCCGGTCTTTTCAAGAACTGCTTCGTAAGCAGCAACTGCCTTGTCCTAAACGGGTGCAGATTACAGTTAGAGAAAATGAAAAACGACAGATTACAACGGACCAGAAGAAGAAGAAGAAGAAGAAGAAGAAAACGGAAAAAATAAAAATGATAATAAATAAGATCTCACCCTATCTCCAACCCGAGCCCAGAATTCCGCTCGCTTCGCCCGAGCAGCCTGGACTTCAGTGTCACCCGCCGCTTCCGCGGCATCATCTTCCTCCTTCTGCAAAGCATCAAGTTCTTTCTTATTCTTCTCTACCAGCGAATCATAGAGTTTCTCATCCCACGGCAGGATCATCTTCTTCGATACTTTCCTGCCTGACAGAATATTCGACGCGACGACGCCGCCTTTACTGCTTGCGGCGGCTGCGGGTTGGGAAGAGGTAGTGCCCTCGCCCGTGCTGTTCAAGATGCCGTCGACCGGATGGGCCAAATGCCGGTATAGTGGGGCCATGTGGTGGTGCAGAATGGCAGACTGCAGCTTCTTCAGCGAGGCCTGTTGGGATGTTTGGGGACATGCTGGGTTGGAGAGGTTGAAGATGTCTTGGGCAAGGGAGAGGTTGGGATATTTGGCGTATTGTGGATCGGAACTCATGACTGCGGGCGAGCGAGAGGTTAGAGGAGATGAGGGAGAGTGGGGAGGTGAGGAGAAGGCAAAGGAGTGTATGGGAGCGGCAAATATATATATTATATAGAGGGAGAGAGAGAGTGTGTGTGTGTTAAGTCTGTGTCAAAGCTGTGGTTGAGAGTTCACAAGATGAGCTGGAGCTTTAGATATTCCGGCTGGGCTAAAATAGGCCTAGCGCGACCTTTCGCTTCCCCAAGTTCCTTGAACATCCAACATTCGCAAATCTCAATTTATCCATTTGAGATACGAAATCAAAGTATTATATTTTGGGTTCCTTGTCGTAGCATCTGTGCTGTGTTTGTTTTGTTGATGTTGCTGTTTACGTGAGGTTTAACACTCTGTTCTCAATCATGCTTTACCTCTGGTCCTACAAATGACTATCTGATAGCCCCTGATGGGCCTGAATGCTTTTGGTCAGGAAAATACATGGGGGACGGTCTGCTAATCTTAGCTCTCTCAGCGGTGTTTTGGCAAGGTGTATCTCCTGTTCAAGGAGCGCATTTTGCCCTGTCACTTCTCAGGTCCCTCGCCTTGGACTCGAAAAGGACGATGTGTGATTAGCGATGGTTTCCAAATTTTTGGTGGTAGATGTGCACCGGGTATATAGAGAAAATATTCGGGAAGTTGGAAAATTGCTCTCTGTATACCTTGGTACTTATTCCGCGAGAAGATCGATACTGGCGAGAAATAACTGTTTTTTTTCGAGCTCCTTCGATCGCTTACAAGCGTGGCTACTTTTGCTTCCGTTTAAACAAGTTGCAACTGCCGAAATACCCAGTGAATAGCAGATCAAGCAGCATTTGAGAATACAGGCAAACAACAACAGCTTCACGATGTTACAGGGGAGTGGGTGAATAGCCTCACCTCGGCGGAGTTGATACGTCTCAGATTCCGTGGAGCAACAAACTTTCCCTCCTCTCTTGATCAGAGAACAGGCGCCGGCTACGGGATTGTACTGTGCCTCCATAATAGAAGCAAGAGGTGAAGAAGAAGGCAGTGCAGGGTAACTTTTAAATCATCATCGGAGCGCTGGGCAACAACCTTCCCGCACTACATCACACACCCTGCAAAGTTGGCGAAGATATCGAAATGCGTAGCTAGCAGCCAGCAGCGTTCATGAGAATCATGCGACATATCTTTGTTTTGTTGGCGGGTTTTGTTTTGCAACAAGCCATGGCGCTGGCGATGGCGCTGGAGCATGTGACACATAAAAAATGAAATGAAATTAAGAAGGAAATTGAAAAAAAATCACCCTCATTCGTCTCAGAGAAGAAGCTTTTGCAATCCGCTAAGCTGATCGTGGTGGTTGTTTTCCCAACACCGGCCTCCCCCAAACAACAATGAATTCGAAAGTGGAACCTTCCCGCCGCGAATGCAGATATTGCGTCAGAGGCGGCGACATCAAAAAGTTGGGGGTACATACATATCATGAGACAGCCATCAAAACAGCGTTGATGGGCCACGTTTGATTTGTTTGTCTAAGGCGTGCTTAGTAAGCTGTCATTTTGTTGTCTATTGTCGCTGAGGTTGTCCATGGTGCGGATATCGGGAAGGCTGAGGAAGTTAAAGGACTACTTTTGATCCTACAGACTGTATAATCAAATTATACTAGATTATCTATGTCTCTACACCTCCATACCAGAAGCAGCTATACAACCTATAACCGAGGAGGTGCAGTTGCCAGCGGTAACCAATCATCCCGCAGGCAAATAACACCCCACGTTCAGACAATTTCTCCCAGAGCACGATCCGAAAACCCAACGACGAATGGGAGTCAATTCAATGGTAAGATCTGGATAGAAAATAAAAAAAAAAAAAAATACAATACAATACCCACCACCCTGGGTAGGAAATGCGGGAACCAACGGCTCGGGAGGTTGCTTAGCGGGCTGAAGCGGGGATGGAATGGATGGAGTGGATGGGAGTGGCGGAGGGTTTGACCAGGTTTGGTAGGCCAGGCAGGGGCTACGAGTCGTGGAAAGCCGGGGAATCGAGGAAGGGGAAGACGAAAAGGAACGAAAAAGGAACCAAGGGGTGAAAGAATCGAGAGAGAGGAAAAAATGTCGATAGAGAAAATATTCATCTTACGCAGGATAACGCAGGGATGTAAGAGCAAG